ATTCTTCTCGCTGCATTCTTCACTGTTGGTGGTAAATAGAAAAGGAAATATGTTTTTTGGTTATAATAAAACTTTTGATCTAGGCGGTTTAACAGCAGTTATTTGGACGGATTTTATACAAACAGTAATTATGGTTATATCAGCTTTTATTCTGATGATTATCAGTATGTTATTTCTATGAATGAAAATAGTGAATTTAAATATTGAAAATAGGTTTTGTCAAAGTTGGTGGTATGCAACAAATTCGCAATCTGTTTCCGTATGCAGTTGCGTATACAACATTACATAATACTACTAAATGTGGTGTATCGAATGAATATTATTTCTCATTAATTCGTCCATTCGATGCTGATTTACCATGGTTTGGATTATTTTTTGGAAATGGAGTTGCGTCTATTTGGTATTGGTGTTGCGATCAAGTGAGTCCAAAGAGAGAATAATGAAGAAAATATTTGTTTTGAGTTCTAATTTAGGTGATTGTACAACGAACATTGGCAGCAAAAAATCTTACACATGCAAGAGCAGGATGTCTTGTTGCGGGAATATTGAAATTTTTTACCGTTATTTCTAATGGTATTTCCTGGTGAGTGATTGATCTTTTGGAGAATTTGAAGTTTGTTCATGATTTTAATAGGAATGATTGCAAGAATTCTCTTTCCAGGTATGAGTATTTCTTTGATTATATCTAAAAACTAACTTTGATATAGATGAAATCGGTTGTGCTGATCCCGATGTGTGCTATCAAGTTTGTCATAGTCGAAATGGTTGTAGTGACATTGCATATCCACTTCTTGTGCTTCGATTAATGCCCAATGGTGAATCTTTAACTTATCTTTTGGAAGAAAATAAATCTATTTCTTTTCTCAGCAATTCGTGGTTTAACACTAGCCTGTATGATTGCAGCTTTAATGTCCTCCTTAACGTCGATCTTTAATTCGAGTTCGACTATTTTCACAATTGATATCTGGCAACGTTTTCGTCGAAATGCACATGATTGGGAATTGATGATTGTTGGCAGGTAAATGAAAGAAAAATTTCTTTGGAAAATAATGACATGGAATTGTATTGAAGAGTTTTCGTCATGATTCTTGTGGGAATATCCATTCTTTGGATTCCAATTGTTCGAGCAGCACAAGGTGCAAGATTATTTGATTATATTTCAGCTGTTTCATCATTTTTAGCACCTCCAGTCACTGCTTGTTATTTACTTGGGGTTTTATGGAAACGAATCAATGAAGAAGTAATTTATTCAGAGTAGCAATTTTTGATAATTTTGATTTTAGGGAGCATTTTGGGGTTTGATATCTGGTTTATTTATTGGAATAATTCGATTTATTTGGGAATATTCTTATACTTCAATGCCTTGTCAACTCGAACATCTGGATAAACGTCCATTAGTAGTTCGATTTAATTTTCTGTATTTTTCAGTTCTTCTTTTCATAATCTCTAGTATTGTGACCATTGTTGTCAGTCTTTTGACAAAACCTATTCCAGAAAAATATGTAAGTTATAATTAATTTTCTCGATCGAATACAAATGTGATGTCTAGATATCCGGTTTAACCATTTTTGATCTTGATAATCCGGAAAAAGCAAGTGAAATTCCTACTCGACCTGGATGTATGCATAAAGCAAATACATATTATGATGAAGAACAACCTTATTCCTTCGTGAATTCGTCTTCATATGATATCAATCAACCTCCTACTGAAACTGAAAGGAAAGCTTTACATTTTTTCGAAACAAGTATCGATATAAAATCTTTTTTTTTCCAATCAAGAAAATCTTTTCTTTTAGGTGATTCCACGGGAATTGTTTTTTATCTAAAAACTGCCTTTGCTTGGATTTGTGGTTTGGAAAAACC